CCTGCTTGTGGTAGTCTGTAGTAATGGCGAGGACTGTTCTTTTCAGTTGTGATACCTTACGCATTTGCCAGCATTCAATGTGAGTGTGCATTACTGTAACCTTCTGGGCAGCAGAGTTTTGCCTGAGGCGGTGGCCGAAGGTAGCCTGGCAACTTGCAGTGGCTGGCAGGTCTGCCCTGGCTTGGGAGCCAGAGGAGGTGGAGGTGGCAGGGCTCGGGGAGCTGCTCAGGGAGGCAGCTGCCAGCTGTGCCCAGTGGGGTTCAACACCGGGAACTGCAGCAGTGACTGACGTTCCGAGAAGCCTAGCCCTGCTATGGCCCTCAGATTTCTCCTCCAGCTCTCAGTTCTCACAGATGTTTCCAGCAAGCCTAGAAGGGAAAAATATGCTACTTGGGCCCTACCACAGCTGCTTTTATCCAGTAAGGTCAACATCAAGTAAATGCCACAGTAGCTATACACGGGGCTATCAGAAAGGCAGCAGAGCTCTCACATACGCAACCATGACATGAAACTCCTGGCATTAATTTTGGGTAAGAGAGCAACTAAGCATTTAAACCCATAGCTAATAGTAACACAGAATAAAACAGGATAGCGGTGTTAAGTAGAGCATGTTCCTTCGTAATTCAGCAATGGATGTAATCCTGAGTCAGGGAAGCACTTGGCATGTGCTAACTGCCACAATGGACCTCTTTGCTGCATCAGGGCTTTTTCCTAAGCTAGCGTGTATCGTTTTTCATTTGCACATTACATGTGTTCCTGTAATAGAAAATACTTTCAAAATATAAAACCTAAAAAAAAAAAGAAATTTGCTGGAAGCATCTTCAGACCAAGTGTCACCTGCTGGAACACTAGTTATCTTTATAGCTTAATTACAATTAACAGTCATACTGTAAAGAAACAGATGGCAATGCTTCATATATGAGCTTTGGAAAACCTCTGTTAGCTTCCCTGGTTCCTTTCTCAGTCATATATTTGCAGGGAATAATCATCCAAAGTGGTTATTTTGAAGTGGTGGGGTTTTTTCCTCTTTTGCTAATATTATACATTTGGGGGGAAGAAGAGGTTGTATTTTGCATGAGATTTTTAATTCCAAAAGAAACATAAAAATGGAGGAAAAATTATACAGAGCAGAAGACAGATCAGAGAGGAACATGAATAATGAACACTCTTCTCTGTGTGTTAAATATTTATATTTCTTGCTATATTACTCCTTTCTGCAATTTTGCTGTTGATAAAAATGGCTAAAGTCTTTTTCCTCCTCCATCTATCTTTCATCTAGACTTGGACACCACTCAAGTTCTTTATGTAGTTAAGGAATGGTGAATAAACTGGAGGAAAATTAAAGTTGTTACTTAATAACTTGTTTAGTCATGTAGTTTCTGACTTATTTCAGATTTCAGAAACTAGGGTTGTAATAGGAGTAAATTTATACTTGTAGTTGCTATCATACTGTATTTAAAAAAAAACCAAAACAAACCCAAACAAAAAAACCCCTGTATTATCACTGTCTTCTTCAGATTATGGCCGAACGGAAGAATGCTAAAGCGATGGCTTGCAGCTCGTTGCAGGAGAGGACAAATGTCACCCTTGATGTTCCTCTGCAAGGTACTGTGTGTTACAGCTAGTATCCTCGGGATGGTCCTATTTTAGATACATTTTGTTTCTGATGCTGCCTTTGACCAAAATGGAGCATGTTGGGTGGAGAGGTCAGGGCTGTAATCCTGTCTTTTAAGTGCTGTATCTGACTGTAAGTTGCTACCGTAGTACATTAAACATTTTTATTGGTTGTGTTGACAGGTGCTCGGTTATGTCACCTTGTGCAATTTCCTCTTTTTATTTTGAAATACACATTTTGCAAATGCAGTCTTACTTATTTGTGGCTACTTGCATGTATTGTCTTGTTCCAATCAAAATACCTCATGACCTGAGACTGCACAAATTGGCCGATTCTTCCTTAAAACCAGAATATACTCCAGTTGATCACTTGGATTCGGGGGGCTGTAGGAGGACTCCTCCTAGGTTTCAGCATCAATTTTAGCAACTTCCAAGGCAAGAGGTGCAAATGGATTGTCGTCCAACTTAAGAGTCTTTTGCACATGTTAATGCATGGTAAAAGAAAGTTGCCTTTGTGTATCATTATTAGTAATAGCTTAAAAGTTACTATTTTGAAAGTAATTCAGGAGGACAAACGTACTTTGTGTTGGCTTTACAGGAAATTACATGCTTCTAGACCCACCAGTTTATACTCAATATCTTACTCCCGATCCATACATCAACTTCTGTAATTGTCTACTCAGACAGTAGTATTGATCTTACTCATAGACTGTGTTTAACGTATTAACAGGGATGGTATTAAAAACAGATTCCAGATTTTACATAGTTACGCAGTGAAACTTAGGTCTGTATGTCTCAGAGACGCATTCATCTATATTTCCTGGGTTTTAATATGACAGCAATGTAATGTGACCTTAGCTTAGATCAAGAATTAGGTGATGCAAAGTTATTCCTAGTTCCTTTAGAAATTATTGAGCATTGTTCTTGTCAGAGGGAGTGAAAATTTGTTTTAATCAATATGATATCTTCAGAGCACAATTCCTGGGTAAACTAGTTTATGTGATTGATGAAATAATAGTGGTTTTCCCTGCTGTGAATGCTGATAAACAGGAATTGATTTTTGTTCCCATGCAGTAGATTTCCCAACACCAAAGACAGAACTGGTACAGAAGTTCCACGTCCAGTACCTGGGCATGCTACCTGTAGCTAAACCTGTGGGTATGTAACACTTAACTGGCTTTGAGAGCACTTTGCAAGACCTCTAAGAGCTGGACTCTGCTAGCCAAGTGTAAATGCCTGATTTTCAAAGGGGAAGGCATGAAGGCATCTAGTATTCAAGGCCTCATTTGAACATGTGTTTTGCAACCAGAGTATTTTGGGAGCTGCCAGAAAGGCAGAGTTTCTTCCTACTGCTTTCTCTGAATATGAGCTTTCCTCCTAATGAGAAGGGCCCTAGCCAAGTGACATGGTACAGCAGCTAAACAAGATGTGATCCTGTTTTTCTAAGCCTGGGGCACCTGTTTTGTTTCTGCAGTTGGAACTGCACAACCTTTCCTCTCATTATCAAATTAATTTTAATGAGGAGTCCAAAACAATCTGTTTTCTGTACTACTATGTGAAAATAAATATTTCATTATTGTTTAGTTATGTATTTGTTTTTCATTATCACATTTTCTTCTCTTTTAGGAATGGATACTCTGAACAGCGCTATTGAAAGCCTAATGGCTTCCTCCAGCAAAGACGACTGGATGCCAGTTACCATGAATGTTGCTGATGCTACTGTGACAGTCATCAATGAAAGAGTAAGGCAGACTGTCTTGTTTAGAACACATTTAATATGAGTGTTGAAAACCAGAAACACATAAATACTAGTAGAAAGAGTTCATTTGTACTAGAATTCATTTGCTTATCTTGCATTTTATTTCTTTCTAGGGCTGTGAATCTGCAGAGGCTCTTACTGCTTGTATCAGCTTCAGCTTTATTTACCATTCCAAGCATGTTCTCAAAAATATAAATGATTAGAAGTATTCATTAGATATGTAAAACAAATTCAGTGTTATCCTTTCGAGGAATTTTGAGCCTAAAATGTTGTAGGATAAGCCCTAAGTAGCAATCCTAAATTCTAAACTGTATTTACCTTATTCTTGGTATGAAAGCCAAGAATAATAGTAAAATCTGTGTTTCACATCACTATCCTTTGGTAGAGCATTTTCCGTAGAGATTAATACCATGAAACTTTCAAAGAATGTCTTTTATGTATGTCCGTTGATGAGGCAAACCAACATCTCTAGCATAGGGCAGTATCCTTCGGAGTCACAATAGCCGTGCATTTCTTCACGAAACAAGCCGTATTTGCAGTGCACAATACGCTCAGTGCTAAGGCTCAAAGCCTCAGTCTGCTGGTGATGGCCTGGAAGGGAAGATCCAGCCCAGGCCTGAGCACGCTGGGTACGTGCTCAATTCAAAAGGAATTCCACAATACTGCATCAGTCTCTCCTCCATTAATCAACTTAAACTTGAAAGTAAAGAGCATTCAGTAGTAACGATCAATCATTTGATTCATAACCAGAATGAAGAGGAAATCATGGTGGAGTGTCGTGTGCGGTTCCTGTCCTTCATGGGAGTGGGCAAGGACGTTCACACGTTTGCCTTCATTATGGATACAGGAAACCAGCATTTCGAGTGCCACGTTTTTTGGTGCGAACCAAACGCAGGCAACGTATCAGAAGCTGTTCAGGCTGCTTGTATGGTAAGTGACCTTCTGCAAAGGCACCTAACAGCACTTAGGTTTTTCACTGCCTCCACAAATAATCGTCTTTCCAAATTTGCAATTATATTAATTTCAAGACAGAAAAAGAAAGAACAGATAAAAATAGGAATTGGATTAATAGGATTATGATTGATTTGGTTTGATTGTGATTTGACAATAGGGATATGATGTATTCAATCAATTAAAACCCAAACATTTTTAAGTTTGAAACATCAATTTAGTGAATGATACCCCTTTCATCATCTTCCCCCTAACCTCTACAACATCTGTGTAAGTTAGAGATCTCTTCTTTCACTACACAAGTTACCTAATGCTGGAAAAACATTTTGCTTGGAGCTGTGTTATACAACCCAGTGACAATGTGGGGAAAATAATCCTTGTTCAAGAACAGCCAAACCCAGAAAACCTATTTTCCAGTTTTCAAAGGGCTGTTCATATGACTTAGTATCTGTCGCGTGCTCATGAACAGTTCCTGCCTGCAGATTGACAAACCAGTGTCCCGTTAACTTCAGTTGGGCTGTCAGGACCAAAATGGAGGTTTGACTGTATTTCATGAGAATGTATCAAAAGTGCATTGGAAGTGTTCTGTGTAAGTAGCAAACACAGTAAGGATTGCAGAATGCTTTTGCTTTGTTGCAGTTACGGTATCAGAAGTGCTTAGTGGCCAGACCTCCTTCACAGAAAGTTCGACCGCCCCCACCTCCTGCAGACTCGGTGACTAGGAGAGTTACAACTAATGTAAAAAGAGGAGTGCTGTCCCTCATTGACACTTTGAAACAGAAACGCCCGGTCACTGAGATGCCGTAGCTGCAAAAGAGAGAAGATTCTCCTAACATTTAACTGAAGATAACAGTAGCTACACTAAGGAAAATGAACTGACGATATCTGGCCTTCCATTTCAAATTGCTGATGCTTTGTCTTCAGAGAATTTACCCTTATCGAAACAATGTTAGACAAGCATGTTCTCTCGTTCTTGCCACCATCATGTGATATGAAAAGAAGCATGAATAATTTTTTTGCTGTCAGTGAGTTACATCATGAGCAATGGAAGGTCTGTTTGATTGTAAATACATGAACATTGCCTAAACTCACACACACACAAAAAAAAAAAAAAAGAATATGGCCACGTCCCTCCCAGTGAACTCATGCTAAAGTCCTTGGAGTGAATGGTGCCCAAGTTGATAGTTTCACCATCTTGAGCTGGATTTGTCACAAACGAATCTTAAATCCTACAGCACTTTGCTCTGTTTTCAACACTGGCGTAGGTACCAAGTATTAGCTACCATTGAATTACTGTAGATTAAATACCAAGTTTTATTTTTTACAGAACTACACCTGTTAGTTTCAAATTGTTTGTCAGCATTGGTCTAGCAGCCACTTTAACATCTCCCTGACATGCTTTTGAATCTTGGTGTCATTATTTCATCTCCTGGTTATATGTGATGGTCTTAGAGAAGAATCGTGTTTAATACAAAACCAATGCTGGAAAATCCAGAAGTCTTTTCAGTAATTGAGTCGCAGGGTGACACACTGAAGCTTTTCAGCTTTAAACATACAAATGCAATGGTTGGCTGTTAAATTTATTCTCCTAAATCTGTCATTAATTCATCAAAAATACCATTTGTTTCACGCGGGGCTCAAACCAATCAGGAGCAGGAAAGAACTAGTCAGTAATTTTATTGTCTTACAACTCTTATAGAGACTAAAATATTCCATACCTTTTCCGTACAAGTGTTTGATGAAATGTTGAATTCAGCGTCTGGTTGCACAATTCCCCCTTCCCTTCAGAGTTTGTTGCTGAATACTTAATGTGCCACAAAAAGAACAATCATGTTTCTGGTTATTTACAAGATTCCATGAAATTTCTTTTCCTTTTCATGCTCTTGTGACAAAATAAGAAGAGAGTTGTTGTCTAACAGGATAGTGCTTCAGGTGGTACAACGTGATTTCAATGCTCTTGCTCCAAAGGCTTCATCAAATTTCTTTGATTTACACACTACTGCAGACCCTGGCAAAGTCAGCCCAGCGTCGCCCCTTAAAAATGTACCTCAGGCTAATTTTCAGATGCAGTTACGCATCTTGAGTCTCTCCCTTTGCCATCTTCTGTCTAGACCTGCAGATTGGTACAAATTTTGGAAACGGAACATTAAAGATATTTTTAACTAGTGTTTAAAATGTTTTGCCTCCATTTATAGATAGGTTCCAAATTGTAACTGCCTCCCAAGTCTGCAAATCTGGTCGTACTGTAATTTTAAAAGAACATCAGCAAGTTTGTTATTACAGGAACTCTTTTTTCATTTTACTATGCAAGAGACTGTTATAAACAAACCATTTTCTTTTTAGTTCCTTCTTTAAAGAAATTAACAGCAACACCTGGGCAAAGCAGCTTAGGAACACAAGGGGAAAAGAATGATGATTCAAGGAATTTCTGCATTGAAAAATGCAGAAAAATCATTAAACTAAACTCAACGTGATGTATGAGCGAGTGTCGGGCGCAGGCAAGCTATGCAACTATTGTAATTAAATTTAGCTCTCTAGACTACTCTCTGAAGAGCTGATCCTCCACCCATCTCAGATCTGTTTATGGCCACCATTCTGCCCCGCCAGGCACTGAAGCACTTGTTCCCCTCACAGGCTCAGAGTCCTGCTCCCTCCTTTGCACCAGCTCCATCACTCATACACCTGGAGGAGAAGCTGCTTATGCCAAGTAGGCAGGAGCCCGGGAGGCGAGGGGACGCAAACCAGCCCCTCCTTGTAGCAGTACCAGTGGTTTAAACTTGTCCGCAAAGCCAGATCGCAAAGTATGAATTTTAAACCATATAATTAAATTTTGCAGTTGCATCTGTGCAGCGCTGCTTCTCCCCAACAAAGAGCCGGGCTCTCTTTAAACTAAACCAGCACTTGGCAAACAGCAGTGTCAAGGTTCTCCTATGTAGGTGTTGTCAAGGCTGTGAACAGCTTGTTACCTTTCACTAGCAATTATAGAAAGGGCCCAGGAGAAGGTAGAAAGGTATTTGAAAAGCTGTAAGTCACTTGCCAATACACGTTTTAAAAGTTTTGTGTCTGTTTGTTAACAAAATGTTGTTGATTTTACAAATATTTAAGTAGTGTGCTTAATGGGCTGGCTATATGTGTGGCCTTTCTGCTTCAGTAGAGCTCCTTACACTCCAAAAGATTATATGTACACCCAGGTGTTTGCAGAGTCAGAGACTAATAATGCAAAGCCCGTTATCTTTTGTTAAACAATGTTAAGACACTCTTAATAAGACACTCTTTTTACCATGGCCAAAAAAGTATGTATGAGATACGTGTGTTTGAGCAACTGCTACTGGTTTAGTTGATGTTATAGCGACCCTTCAGTTATCTATGCATTTTTTTATAATACCTAGCGATTCTGTAGGCAGGCAGCCATGTTCACTATGCCTTGTATGTCTGACACCATATTTTAAATTAACCTGTTAAATACAGCTTAAAAATATTGTTATTTTATTTATTCTATTTTTACTGAAATATCCTGCATTATTATGTTGATGTATTGTCTTTACTGGATGTGCTCTTGTAACATTCTTCACTCTGTATACTATAGGTTGCCTAAAAAAGGGAGGCTTTGTAATTATTTGTAGTCGCATTTTTATTGAAGTCTGTAGAAAAATCATGTAAAGCAAAGCTAATTTCTTAATTTTTTTCAATGCAAGTTAGAGGTGAGTATCACATGTCATTAATATGCTCCCTTGGAAGCAAGGCGATTTATATTCACAGTCGATGACTCAAGAGATAAAAGCCTTTCTTTTGAAATCGCCAGGGCTGGCCGCAGGTTTTATTTTTATTACTCACCATTTCATTTGAAGGGGAGCCAGGGGGTGGGGGAGGAAGGAGGGCTACAGGGGCCACAACAGCGTGGTTAAACAGCAACAACAAAAGCTGCCTGGAAGGACACAGAATGCATGTGCAGTACAACGAGCTGTTAGTGAAATACCTGGGGTGCAGTCACCTGTACCTATTGAAACAACACGACCTTTTGTGGCAGAGGAACACAAACTAGGGAGTATCTAATAGCTCAGGCCAGTTCTGTGTCACTATAAGAGTTCTACATCCCTTTTAATTTTATCAAGCACTTCATAGATCATTTAACTAGGGAGCTAAAATTGTTAGTACATCACCCATGGAAAAGACAACTTTCTTATTTCAACGGCTACTATAGGCTCAGCCTTTCAGCATTACCATTAACCCCATTACTCCTCTCTTGGGCAGGTTAATAATACCTTGCTACAACTCATGCTGTACAGTCAGCGAAAGCAGGTTTGGTTTATTTTAAGAGCAATAAGAAAGAAGGAAACATTTCTCCCTCTTTATTAGCAGAGTTCAGTCTTACGTAAAGCAACTGACACCGAAAAGGACAATTTTCCCTGCTGTTGACCACTTCTCCACATTTAAATGTAATCTGTTCCGAGAATAAATTTAACTGCGTAAAATGATTGTCTCAACTGTTACTGGTCCATGAAACTGGGAAATGATTTCTTTTGTTCCAAATTGTGGTTGAGGGGAGGGTGGTTTAGAGGCAATAGCAGTACAACAGACACTTTTGTATCTTGAAAACTGAATCAGCAGCTTCTAATTGAAAATCACAAATACATAACTGGATTACAGAAAATCAGTTACATAAGGTACATCTTTACTGTAAGAAGTCATCAAGCGTTAAACTGAGCATACAGGCTGCCACCTACAAGCCATCTGAAGCTGGTCACAGATGTTGCCACCATGTGATGTTCAGTGCTTACAAAGTAAAGCTGCTCACCTGCAGAATCAAACTCTTCACTACCAGCTCTTTAATATTTCTTGGTAAGACATCAAGATTCTAACAGTTTAGCCTTCATAACATTTCAAAGATGCCAACTCCTGAAAGCAAGATGAGGCCAATTGTGGGACATCATGACACATATTACGTAAGTAGTCCAGAAATTCTGTCATCAGACACATGTATGTTCTTTTACAAGTAATTTTAATTATATTTAATAATGAATTGTACAGATTTTGATTTTTAAAAAATAGTTTAGTTCTCTAACTGCAGAATCCTCTTAAGTTTATTTTAAGCATTTAACAACCGTATTGAAAAAAATCCCGAAATCTCCTTACTCTCCATTCCTTTTATGTAACATGTAGAATCTCTCCTCTTCCAAGATGGTTTTGAAATAAAATAGTGATTTATTCTTTTCAGTTCTATACATTGCATGTGTACAGGTCTAGATCTGTCCTTCCAAATTTGTTCAGAAACAAGAGCAGATGTCATCCTTTTATTGGAATAGGTATGGGTTACTCACAGGGATACGCAGCAGGTGAGTGATGCCTTTGAATAGGACAGCTGGCTCAGATTAAAATGCTAAAAGAAATTTTCACTGATTCAGTGAAGCAACGATACTTATGTGATGAACAAGAGCCAGCTTGTGAATATCATTCACATCCTGTCTTCTAAAGGTAGTGCTGATCCAGCTCCATTGACTGGTGTGACTGAGGGGAAAAAAAAAAACCACAGAGATTGTTTTAACATTTTCTCTGGATGTCTAAATCCAGACTCAGTTATACTTCAAACAGGTTAAGATTCCATACCATATTGGCAACACTCTTGCCAAGTATCTTAAATGCTTGCCTAGAGGAAAACTTCTCTATTGCTATGTTCTTTGTTTCATTTCTGCAATAGTATAACCTGAATAAATACAATTTACAATTCTTGAGGTTCCTCTTACAGTCATTCCATTGTTTGCCATTTTCCTTATTTATACCGTTCATGTTTAGTATTAAATCAGATTCTTATTGAAAGTATGTGTCCCTTTTATCCTCTGCTCAGATTGTAAGACAACTGTAGATATTTAACAATTATTTTATTTTATATTTGCTAGCAAGAGGGAGCAGGTTAGAAGCCCACAGCTATTCCCAAAGAAAGACAAATTACTTTGTGTTCAGTCATTATTCAGCTGACTAGTGCTAGCATTTATAAAAATAACTTAACTTTGACAGCAGTGGCTCTTTTCAACTAAGAACTGCTTGCATTAAACTTGGTGAAAACAGTTATGAGCCATGACATAGTCTGACATGACGTTATGATGACAATTCAGTATTTTTAGCCTAAGAAAATTCTATCTCGTTTTCATTATTAGTATTTTGAGTAG